GTCATCCTCAAAATTTTTATTTTCTAAAAATCGGGTTTCTTGTTATCAGCTTTACCCCCCCCCCCCCCAAAAAAAGAGGCTCTTCTAAGGTTTTATAGTTTTCCTAGCACATTTCTGAAAATTTTTACTGGCAAGGGGGCAATTGTTAATATTTTCAACATACCTATAAACTAATCCATACAAATAAATATATCTCTCACCACAAAATAATGTTTTACTAGAATCACATGTAAACACTAAACACAACTTACAACAGATCCTAAAATATGGATGTAAACCATTATTGCAAATACAGAAGGTTGATTTATTATATGAAAAATTCATTTCTCATTTTCTAATGTAAAATTCTACAGGTTTTTTTTTTTTTTATGTCTAACCCTTCACAACCCCGTAATTATCTCCAGTTTTTACATGGCCAAAATGATTACGTCAAGTTTTGAAAAATTATTTGGCATGTGGAGGGATTTTACCTTGACCCTCAAATAACCTCAAAGATTAGATTTTAACTAAAATGTTGAAGCTCTCTTAACCTTTGTTTTGGATAAAGTAATTTAAAAAAATCTAAACTGCTAGACGTAATTTTTGCCCCCTGTTGTGATTATTATTGAGCTGTAGGAAATCATGAAATTTCCAACCCATGCAGATATAACTTTTTCAATTTTTAATTACAATTTGCAAGTTTCTGAAGCTGACCAAAATTGTAAATATGGCATCTGAAATCTGGGGTTTCGTTCATTCTTATGATCTACTTGGCATACATCTAACTTCCTTTTATGTGTGGCTACGCTAGATTGTGAAGTTAAAACTTTTCTTACTATGTTTCAAGGCCATATAAGTTAGTAATGGTTTTCTATTATTTGTAATCCACGGAAAGGTAACAAATTAATCTAACGAGTTTCCCTGTCAATAAGTTTGGTATCAAACTGTAGATTACAATTCAAATTTTAGTGCTATACATTACTAAATTTCTTAATTTTAAATCAAATATTAAAAAAACAGAGATAAACACCGATTTCTGTGTGTCACGTTGATGCAGCACTGGTTGAAATTAGATGATTGTGAAGTCAAAATACTAAGTCTATAGTTTTGAATGAATTAGAAACTCAAATTACCAATATTGACAAGCTAGAATATAAAATAAGAGCCTCTTTTCAATTTGCTTAGACATTACTCATGTAATAAATCAAACACAGTGGCACCCTACCCACCTCTTTCCATTTTTGGAAACACTCCCTTAAATGACATGAATAACTAACTATTCAGAAGCTCAGAATGTCCCCCTAGTGGCTTTCTCAGCCATTTTAACAGGCTTGGATGCCATTTCTTTCTTTTGAACCAATATTCAACAATATTTCTTTAGTCTGCTTGAAATTTCATATTTTTAGACTAAAATACATCTTAGTTACTAAGCTTGATAAATTATAGTTGAATTCTATGGTATTGATGTAGTAATTTATGATTTTTTTAGTTATTCAAATGTATATATAAAACCTAAAAAAATATTTTGTTTCATATCCTCCACGTGCAAAATTTTTAAAGGCTTAGCAACCTACATTAAGCAGCGAGTGCAAAGGCTGTAACTAGAAGAGATAATTGTTTGCTTTACTTCTTTATTTACCGTTCTATGTTTTAGGAAAAATATGTTTAAGAACTTATTTCAAAATAGCAATAACCTATATACATATATAATGTATAATAATTGAAATGCGACTGTACAAAATACTAGTCTACTAAAACACAGCCAAGACAAATTACTTTGCACAGATCAAAAGTCAGTTTTATGTTATATGATATGGTAACATGAGTGCTACGTGAGCCACGTCATTGTAACTTCTGTATTGTTAGCCAGGCATGGCTGAAAAGTCAATATAAT